CGTCTGCTTTCGTCTCCACTTTCTGCCCCCACCCCCTCACCTCCTTTGCCCCTCCTAAGGGCTCCTGACTCCTTCTGCAGCCCTTCTACTACTAGCCCTTGGCTCCTTCTTACTTCTCTCTTTCAGCCACACACCTGATCTTCTGGTAGGAAAGATCTACCTCTAGCCTTCTCGGACTAGGACGAAACATTTCGGTGGTCCTGTGTGCAAGTTACGTACGTTAAAGATCCCTTGGTAGTCTAAAATCGATAAAGAGTAGGCTTCGGCCGCCATCCGGCCAAAATTCCAAATTTCCTACCTAGTGAAAATGTTTAATGTGACCTTCTGCAGTTGCGAGCGCCGTAAAACAACAACAAATAAACAGTACAAGCAGCCATTAATAGGGGCTAAAACACTAACATTTTCGCACATTTACTTCAAACATAAAATATATATACCAAGGCCCAGAAAGTACTATTTAGTAAACTACAATTTAGATCTAGTATTGTTTTCGATTGTATAGCTATAGTATAGCCCACAATTACACTTAATAAGAAGGGTGCAAGGGAGAAACATGTTGGTTAAGCTGAGCTGTGGCTGGGTTGGAAAGTGCTTCCTCGTCTCTTCTGTTCCATCTCTGTGTCTATTGTCATTCAACAGCTGAATTGAAAAATAACTTGTGTCGTGGAAAAACGTTTGTTGTCAAGAATTTGATATATTTTCTCTTAAAATGCCTAAACGTGATATCCCATGTTTTCGCTTGCACTTCTATTTATTACCTGTCGCAGGTGCAGCCTCATGATTTAGTAGAGGTAGACAGAGACAAAGCATTAGCCACAGAGATGATACTGTTCTTGGATGTAATTCTACACCAACGCCCCCCGCCACCCCATCAACTCCTGTATTTCTGTTCTGTACACCAATTATTGTCGCCACGACTGATTACGGGAAATAACTTATTCACTTTAAAAGTTAGGGGCTCTCTTGGTCTAGAGGTTAAGGTGTTTGCCTTTCATTCAAAAGTCCCGGTTCGAATCTGGGAAGTGATCAAAAAGATTTCTTGTCTAAATTGTCTGCTTTCACCTCCTTTCCTGCTATCTAGTCATGTTCTGTCGTCTGCTTTCGTCTCCATTTTCTGCCTGCACCCCCAGACCTCCTTTGCCCCCCTCCTCCGGGCCCTTGACTCTTTCTGCAGCCTTTCTACTGCTACTCCTGGGCTCCTTCTTACTGCTGTCTTTCAGCCATTCTTGATCTTCTGGAAGGAAAGATTTACACCTAGCCTTCTCGGACAAGGGCCAAAAATCTCGGAGGCCTCGAGTGCAAGTTGCGTACATTAAAGATCTCTTGGAGGTCCAAAATCCATAATAAGAGTAGGCTTCGGCCGCCACCCGAGCAAAATTCAAAAAGTCCTACCTACTGAAAATGTTTAATGCGTCCCGCACGCTCATATAGCCTAATGCAGTTGCGAGCGCCGTAACACCCTTACAAAAAAACAAACCATTAAAAGTTCTAGGCTATCGTCTGCGGTTCACCCTTCAATATGGCTGTAAAATGCTGGACAATTACAAATGACAGGGAAAATAAAACAACAGCAACAGATATTATGTAGCTTCTTTGGTAAAATTTACTGTTGAGAATTTATTGGTAGGAAAAGAAATCAAGTGAGGTAGGGCCTTGTACTTGAAGAAACATGTTTGGGCCCCAAGCTGATAAAAACAATCAGGAAAAGGCAAGCACAGTTTCTTAAAATTAGTCATAAGAAAGGCCTTGAACATCTAGCTCTCACTGGTAAAATTGAAGACAAACGCGGCAGGGGTAGGCCCAGCGCAACTTGGACAGGAGAACCTAAACATGACTTTTAAGTCAGGCTAATTTTATATCTTTTTTGAGAGCATCCTTGCAAAGGTATGATTGAATGGTGAACCATGATCGACGATGTCTGCTGCAGACTTGACGCTTGATCACGTGCTGATGATGTTGTTATTCCCAATGTCATTGTCAAGGACAGCGAGACGTTTTTTCGTGCCGAAAAATGCAACTTTTCATGCAAAACATTTACGATGTTCAAGTCTGTTGTCGCTCGAGCCCGTTGAACTTTTTAAAACGACCACAAATCTCATGAATTTTTTTTTCTAAAACTGCAACTTTTCATGCAAAACATTTGCATCCCATTGCTATCTTGCTAGCTGTAAAACTGTCGCTATTTCGTCCGCAGACATCATGAAAAGCTTCACCGGCTCGCCTTTTGTCCGACAGAAGTGCATAGCTCATAACAATAGGCGACGCGAGACAACAGACTCAGGCGAACTGTTTGTTATTCAAATACTGAACCTGCTATTACTTTTATCCATTCCTGACTGACTCAGTTACGGTTACGTATTAATTTAGTTTTGTATTCGAAGAGGAAGAGTTGTCCCTAATGATGACTGCTCCTGATGTTAATACTCGAAGGAGGAGGAGAAGGAGGAGGAGAAGGAGGAAAGGAGGAGGAGGAGGAGGAGAGAGGAGAAGGAAAAGACGAAGAAGGAGAAAAAGTAGGAGGGGGAGATGGATGATGTGGAAAGTATCAAAGGAAAAAGAGAAGAAGAAGAAGAAGAAGAAGAAGAAGAAGAAGAAGAAGAA